GCAACCACACGCTGGCAAAGCTATCGATGTTCCCTTCTATGTGAGTTTCACAAAAGCACGATGAGGGCATATGCCAGCATCAGTTTCCTATCAAAACGAATGAATGAATCGTAGAAGAGTTTGTTGTTCTACTGGGCAAGTCGCAGATCCACGACTTCTATGTAACAGTAATGGTACTCACTACTTCACCACGTTCGACAGCTTAAGTTACTAGTGGTGGATCCAGAAAGCAGATGCTTCACATTCTCACTGTTTGTGAGAGTAAAAGCTAAGCAATCCAAGTGGTAGCTACTGACAGCAACAGCTAACTGATTGGCGAAGATATCGATGGCTCTCTTTTCCGTTGGTTGCTCAGAAGCAAGCTAATTGCGATTTTGACCCCTGCCACCCATTAGTACCAATTTACAGTATAAATCAGTGTACAGTAAGGTGCCCGGCTTGGCTCCTATTGATACCTGAACAAACATCAAGGATACCAGTACCACAGGGTCAATCGTCGAAGGTATCTCATGTCAGTGATGTTACTAGGATGTACCCGAACGCTCTGGGACAGCCCTGTCTCTTTGGTTCTGGGCTGTATACTCCAGTTAGCACTATATGTTAATATTTGTCCACTATTTGTTCAATACATGTATACCACTTTTTCGGGAACCATCTTAGTGATCGTTACTTTCTCGCTGGTACCATTCACTGATGTGCAGTGCTCAGCCGTCGTCGGCAAGACTGAAAAAATGTCTACCTTTCTTAAGTGGTCGCAGTGATAACATTTTAATAAGTGTTACCCACTGATGGCAGCACCTTTTTTGCAGTGTTAAAGAAGCGGCATGTGCCTCGATGCCGACTATTTTTATGCCGATGTTTGCTGAACAAACTCGTAATTCATGGCTTGCATGGAATCGCGGTTATGGCAAGTTGCTCAACAAAGTTAATATTACTGCTGAGTCTCTTTTGCACACAATCCGGGAAATGCTCGAAAATACAAAATACAAAGAGAATGCGCTCAAGTTCCGCCGGTATCCGTTTTTGCATTACAAAAAAATCAGGCAATAGGCAAATCTGAAACATCCTTTTCATGAAGCTTACCCGCTTTGTATTTCTTCTGTTAGTACCCACCGCATGTATGCCACCTCTTTGGAGACCGCTTAGGAGTGGTCGTTCACTTCCCTGTAGACATCACCTCACGAACACGCGTTATCCACCGACTGTCGACATGTTCTGCCCATCAGATTTTACTTTCCTGCGGGCGCAATGATGCAATGATATCGTGCACGCCGCTCATCAGTCGTAGAGTCTGACAGTTCATATGATCGCGGAGAGACGAGCCAAGCATCCCTCACTTCGTCGCTCTCTTCTTGACAGCCCGTGCTTGCTCTTCAACTTTCGTCAGTGACAACGTTTCGCATCGTGCATCATTACGTTTAACACAGTGGTAGTGAACAGGTGGGCAAGATCCTTCCGGCTCAAAACTCTGAGGACGTCGATGATGCTGTGAAATTTGCGCCAGTCAGCAGCCAGCTATTTTGTATGCAACATAGCACTAAAATAGAAATCGGATTATAAGAAATAGCGCAGGTATTTTTTTTTTTGATATCTAAGAATACTAAACGAGTGCATTTCAGCTTCTATGATGATGTATCTCCAATTTCTGCCATCGAAGGAGGCGCGTTCTGGATCGAACGACTGCTGAAGTATGGTGGACGGATGCCGAATTATTTTTATACAAGGTCTACACAACTGAGCTACACTGTCTACCTTAATCTCGATCTTATTATATTTATCCCTGGTGTTTTTGTTTTGTTGTTGTTAGCGAGATAGAAATTTGCGCGTAAGGAACTATAGCAAAACGCAATACCAGTAATGTGTGTGTATCAGGTCAGTGATGTATTGTATGCTTCTGTGCATGTTGCTATTAGCATCAGTTTACAAATTTCTTTCTGTTTTTATGCGTTTTTTGCAGCAATGCAATGCAAAAAACGCATATTGACGAGAGGTTGGTTGTCTGTGTGTCCATGTGTCTGTGTGTCTGTATGTGTG